TAATTAACCCTAAAGACCAGTTCTACTACTAGATACGTCTACTACTATTTCTGATGCTGATTCTGTCAATACTATAAAGTATTAACAATAAAAACTCAGGTTGAATGATGTATCACAGACAGAAAAGAATAAAGTCTGACCCCCACCATCGAAACCCACAACCCAGTTATAAAGCACACCATCATTGCAAACCTGACCACAGCCAGCCACTATGTTCTTGCTTTGGTCGCAGGAGCCGACCGCTTCAGTGCCAACATCAGGGATATGACCGGCTACAACCCCCTGCCCGTCTTCAAGCTGTGCTGGAAATACTTGACCCCGGCTGTGTGCACGGTGAGTGACCTGCCTTCACACTGTTTAGCGTCTACATGCTGTGAAATAGTCAACACATAAATGCATGTTTGTGATTTCATGCAAATTTCATTATGTGTGATGTGTCGTCATCATTTTGTATCAAAAGATGCTGGCGAACTGATCACACATATACCAATGTCTGCAAACTTGCAAAGTCGTGTCATGTAAAATGTCAAGTTGTTATTAACACAGTCCTCCCGCAGGCCACCTTTGCGTTTTCCCTGGTGTGTTGGGCTCCACTGAGCCTCGGGAAGGGCCTGGTCGCTCCAGTCTGGGCCACCACGCTGGGCTGGCTCCTCACCCTCTCATCCGTCTCCCTGCTTCCCTTCTGGGCCATTTATGCCCTGGTCACCACCCCAGGAAGCCTCACACAGGTTGGTTTAGTATCATAAGTTATGCTCATTTTCACCTTTTAACCCTAACCCCTTTAAATTGTGTTAATAAGTAAAATGGCTTTACTGCTTTAGTTTTGTTCAGAAAACATCCCTTTTAACTAACCTTGACCTTTTGACCTCACAGCGCTTCCAGCATCTATGCAGCCCTGCCAAACTCTCGTCCTCCCACCACCTCCCCACCAACTACCGTGCGCTGCCCTACAGCCCCGCACTGCCACTCACTGAGAAGCCCAAGCAGCCAGTTGCAGACGTCGTCCACAATCCTGTGACCTGATGACAGTTAACAAGGATGTAACGCCGGGTGCTGCTCTGCCAGGTTAAAGTTAATGCTGCTTTATTTAGAACAGTTTACACTCAAGGTCCACTTTCTCACTCAATCTGTAGCTTTCACCCACATCCTATGATCTTCAAAGGTGATGTTCATATGTTCCATTATTGTCATCATATTCCAGACCTCTCTCCCACTTTTCTCAAAGCTCTAGAATACAGATGGTTAGTCAGCTTATGGTTTATCAGCACTGAGCCTGTCGTGTTAGCCTCTGTCCTCCGCTTTGATTCTCCACCTAATGTTTCCATCTCATTGTGTTTGGTTGCAGGTCTCGTCTGAAGTGACTCTGTGAGTCGAACTGGTTTCATTTACTGGGTTTTGTTTGGACTTTTTCTCTAGATGGTGCTTCGCCTCATATGGTGGATTTCCAATGTTTCATACTACACAAGATCTCCATTAAACAAATGCAACTTTTTACTGCCAATATATCAAAGGATCTACCTTCAGGTTTCTCGACAACTTCTCCCTCTGATCGTCGAGAACTGAACGGACAGTTACTAGTCATGGACACATCAGCTACACTTACCGTATCTCTTTTCATTCTGTTGCGTTTTTTTCCAATTGAAGGTTTCAAGTCCTGTTGGTGCAAAAGTGAATCTGTGTGCATCTTTGCACTCCACCAAAAAAAACAAGCTGCTGTCATAATCAGTATTTATGAATACAAAATTACAAACTGCTGCTGATCTGCTCTTGCACTTAAAATTGATTTTTTTTACAAGAAAAGGTTTATTTAAGCTCCAAAATAACTCCTAGCACTCCAGTGAGGATTCTTACTAGAGCGTGACCAACAATGTCCTCTCTGCTGCGTAGTGATGTTTAAGTTGAAGATGAATAAGTTCCTTGTGCAAACTGCTGTTTTTTTCAGACGTGGATAAAATGTTTTCAAATGTTCCTTTGAGATTAATTTACAGAAAAGCAAAGTGATAAATCCCATCTGGTGTCTTTTTTTATACGCTTTCATTTTTACAGGTGCTTACATACGTGTCTCTTCATTGTAGGGCGAACTTCTTTTGTATATGAATCATTTAATTTTTCTTAATGAATATATATTTACATTGTGGATTAAAGAGGTTGTGTGGACTTTATTAATGTTATGCTCAGTGTGTGTTTTTGTGTGCGAGTGTGTGTGTGTGTTTTTGCCTTCCTTATAACAGACTTGTGGTCGAGGCGAGCCGTCACTTGGGAGATGATGCTCTCTCCCTCTGCGCCATGGAAACAGATGCAAAAGAACACACCTGGTTTCTAGGAAGAGAGGAAAAGAAAAAAGAAGATAGATATGTAGGGAAATACACAAACACAGACACACACACACACACCATCAGCCATTCGAACGTCACCAGAATAAGTGAATGCCTTCATCTGAAGCGTTTTTATACTGATGGGAATTACTGGTTTAACATCCATGAAGGGATGGAAGCAAAGAATGTGGGGAGGGAAAGAGCAGGAGGATGATAGAGTGTGTGTGTGTCTGTGTGTGTGTACGCACAGAGGAGGAGAGGGAGTCATGGTGACTAAAGAGGGAGGGAGAGCAGCAGCAGCGCCGCCGGGGGGAATTCTGACACAAGCACTTGGATGGAGCCTGGCGGTTATGTAAACGGCTCGGGCTTGTCAATTAACCGTATTGGATTCACTCCCCTTCCAGCCGCCGTAGGAAGTGGGCTGGTCCCGCATACACGTGGCTCAGCACATGGGGCTCACACACATACACACACACACACAACTTGTTTTGGTGACACACAATACTGTATGTGGCCTGCTTTGCAAGTGTGATCCGGGTTACTATGTGATTGTGTGTGTGTGTGTGTGTGTGTGTGGATAAACGGGGCGGTTTATGTCCATATGGTTGCTTTGGCATACATCAAGCTTTTAGATGATGGGGATTAAAAATGGTCCAATGGGATGAGTGTGTGAGACTGGAAGAGAGAGAGAGAGAGGAAGAGGGAGGA